CTTTTACTGCAGATACTTTAACTACATGAGGCCGGTGATACTTGTGTACTTTTACTGCAGATACTTTAACTACATGAGGCCGGTGATACTTGTGTACTTTTACTGCAGATACTTTAACTACATGAGGCCGGTGATACTTGTGTACTTTTACTGCAGATACTTTAACGACCCGTCTGTCTCTCTGTCTCAGGTGAGTCGTTTCAGTCCGTACGAATGGCACGGTGAAGACTCTGATGATGAAGATGAAACTCTGCCTTCTTCTGGTTCTCGACGAGCTCTGCCGACCTCTTCCTCTGAGCTCACTCACTCTCCAGGTGCTTTCATCATCATCATCATCATCTTCCTCATCATCATCATCATCATCATCATCCTCCTGATCATCACAGCTTAAAGCCTGATGGATGTAAATGAACATGATGTCGTTTTGTTCTCAGGGTTTTCTCAGAACCAGAACCAGCAGAAAGAAAAGGAGACTCCAGAACACACCAACGACTTTGGGATCTTTAACTCTCTCTGGTTCTCACTGGGAGCCTTCATGCAGCAGGGCTGTGACATCTCCCCCAGGTAGGCAGCACACCTGGACAGACACAAACCAACACGGCTGAGTCACAACTTCCTTCAGTGTTTGGACTCAAATATTTTGTTTGCGATCAAATAAATGTTTTGCTTCATGGTACTCTGACAAAAATTACCTCCAAATAACAAATTCAGGTTTTTAAGGAACACTTCACCCCAAATGGTCACGTGTGTGTATCAGTTACTCACCTGTGTTACACTGAACTTGTAAAGAAAACAAGAAAACATTCTCCACGTTGCACTAAGAGTCTAAAAAACGGCTGAGCGTCAGACTGGACACAGACTTGGATTAAACTGCAGGAGCGGTGTGAGATTGTAGACAGATGTTTTGACTTTAAGGCCGTGCGCCCACATTTACTTATTTATTTATTTATTCATTTTTCAGCAGAAAGCTGAGAGCAGGGCGCTGGGGAGGGTTTTATCCCAGGGCTTCATGAAGAAAGCTCTGATGGCGTTTTGTTTTTTTGTTTTTATGATGTGCTGCACATGGGGTTTTGTTTCTATGACAACAATATCTTGACACTAACATGAGCCAGGTAGCTAACGTGGTGCTACATTTACAGAGGGTGGACAGTCTAACTGCATGAACTATAAACTATGATTTATAAAAACTGCACTAGATATAAAAAGAACCTCATTTAGTCCGATGAAGTCATTTTTCTGTGTTACAGTATGGTGACTTGGTGTGACCTCAGAGAGGAGTGATTATAGCTCTGTTCACATGATGTTTACTCAGATTTTTTTTTAATTTCTTTTATTTTATTTTATCATTCTGCACCTTTTGATGTGTTTTTTGCTGGTGTGTTGGCGAAGCTGTGGGAGGAGCCTGACTTAGACTTCTTTAATGTCCATCAAACTTTACATAAAAGTGTAAATTTGTCTTTGACAGTGGCATAAAAAACACACAATATAAGTAAAACAGACTCTGAAATCAGTCCAGTTTGCTCCAGAGAGGAGTTAAAAGATAGATGGGCATGAATAAAAATGCATAAAGTGCCTATACGAAACTAACTGCATAGTAAAATTATCTGGGCAGTTCTTTGTTAAGGATGGTCTGGCGTAATAATAACAATAATAATAATAATAATAATAATATACACAAACAATAATATATAGTGGCCTTGATGTTGCACAGCAGGGACCTAAAATACAGCAGTGATAAAATGAATAAGCTGTAATGTGAACAAGTTGTGCAGTGATGTGGTAAATGTGTGTGTGTGTGTGTGTGTGTGTGTGTGTGTGTGTTTGTGTAACCAGAACAGACCGTCGACAGGAAGTGAAGATAAATCTGATAATTACTGTCGCAGCTTGTTAACAGGTAGTCACATAAATACACATGAACACACCGTCAGAGATATACAGCGCTGATTGATGTCGACGTATATCACAAACACACACAAACACACACACACACACACACACACACACAGACGCACAGACGTTGTCATGAAACACATAGAATCATGTGTGACGTGCTGCCGGGTCAGTTGTATGTTACTGCTGTGTGAAGCCCAAAGGCTGTTTCTATTCTGAATCTGCTGTGTTCTCTGTGTTCTCTGTGTTCTGTGTGTGTGTGTGTGTGTGTGTGTGTTATTTTGTCACCATGTGTGTGTTTACAGTCGTGATGGTTAGGGACTGTTCTTTATTTGTCAGAGGAGGAGCAGCTGGTGTGTGACCCTCCCTGAGTGGCTGGAGGACAGTCCATGACCCTCACTCCACCATAAATGAGTTATTAGATTTTTAAAACTTTGATGTTTGAAAGTAAAAAGTTGAAGATGAAATCCTGGAGTTGAAAGAGTTGTAGCCTCACACAGTAACACGCAGTGGCCTCAGTTTTTCACTCTTGTCATGCAATTTGTTTTTTGTTTTTTAGTCCAAATGTTAAATGAGACGTAGAATATGAAGTGTTTCAGAACCAACAAAAGTTTCTTAAAAAGTTTTTATAGAAAGAAAGCCAAAAAAACTTAAGGAAAAACAATGCAGGGGTTTGGAAAATCAAAATTCCAAAGACATGTTTTCTCTAAAGATTGGTGGTAAAAATAAAATCATAAGACAGCCATTTTAATTTGTGTGCCCCTCCTCTTAGCCGAAATAAAAGTGTTGCAGTGCTTTAGCCGGCTCTGGGACACAGCGGCCTCCTGTAGGATCCACCTCAAAGTTTAAATCTGAAACGGCATCTAAACCCTTTGAACAACTGTTGCTCACATGAGGTGTTTTTTGTCTTTGTCGAAAAGAGTCGATGCATTTAACTCACATGACTGATCAGCTGTTTCAGTTTGAGCAGCAGCCCAGGAGGGCCAGCAAAACTCCGCCGGATCATGCGTGTTGCGTCATTTTTGTCATCCAGCAGAGTTTCAACGAGGGGGATGATTGTCGCTGGTCAGACAGTTCACACATGCGGCCAACACTGTTTTAAAGCTCGATGAAAATTGTCCCTTTAGGTGGATTTTTGACTGACATCAGTGTGGACAAAAAATCTGACAAAAGCAGCAACAACATCTGAATTTTGGTTAATCAGTTAATTAGCTTAAAAAAGGTCTCGTATCAGGGTTTTAGTACTCTTGTGAGAACATTGTGTTGCACACACACACACACACACACACACACACATTTTGTTTCTGTGTCAACCCTCCTCATCACGACACAGGCCCTGTTAGTGTGTGTGTGCTTCACATCATTCAGGGTCACCTTTAGACGAGCTGGCTCGGACTGCAGGGCTTAACAGTATCAGTGTGTGTGTGTGTGTGTGTGTGTGTGTGTGTGAGAGAGAGAATGTATTTGATATGAGGTATAGATGCTGGTGTTTGTGTGTGCTCCCTTGCTGCGGGCAGAATCATCCCTCCGTCTTTATTCAGCCTCAGTTCTCTCACCTACTGTAGAAGATAAAATATAAGTTGTGTTATTCGTCCAGTGATTTGACAGATCAGCCACACAAACACGTTTCCTCACTGACGACCGCAGGCTGAGCAAAGCACCCCAGACGTCCCTCTGACCTGAGACGCTCTCCAGCTCCTCCTGGAGGACCCCGAGGTGTTCCCAGACCAGATGAGATCTATAATCCCTCCAGTGTGTTGTGGGTCTGCCCTGGGGCCTCCTACCAGCTGGACCAGGAGGATCCTGATCAGATGTTGAACCACCTCAACATGAAGGAGCAGCGGCTCTACTCCGAGCTCCCTCCAGATGTCTGACTCCTCCCCCTATCTCTAAGGCTGAGCCCAGACACCCTACAGAGGAAACTCATTTCAGATTCTTGTATCTGTGACCTCATTCTTTCAGTCACTACCCAGAGCTCATGACCATAGGTGAGGGTTGGGACGCAGATGGACCAGGAAATCAAAAGCTTTGCCTTCTGGCTCAGCTCCCTCTGAACCATGAAAAGTCAGGGGCAGCACCCGCATACCTGCAGACGCTGTGCCAAACTGCCAGTCCATTTTATGCTCCACTCTACCCTCACTCATGAACAAGACTCCAAGATACCCTGAGATAATAAAACAGATACTGCCCAGGCCTAATAGGCTCGTAGAAATAGATAGGTACAATTTTTTAATTGATGTTGGACAAGCTCTCATGAATTATTCACATTAGTCTGAAAAGACCTCAGAGTCAGTGCTGATATAGTCTACAGTTATTAAAAAATAAAATCAATCAGTCAGTTAGTTGTAATAGTGAGAAAATAAATCAACAATAATCAAAAGATTAAAATATTTTAAAGTTAAGCACCGAATTTTGTTTCCAGTTTCTCCAATGTGAGGATTCAGACCTGATGACAACGCTAGACAAAAGGTCATGATGTCACCAAAATATTCAGGAGACATCCTCTGGGGACCGTGAATATCAGACCATAGTTCAAGGTGATCTCACCAGTACTTGAATGCCCGTTACAAAACGTTGGGCCAACTAACGTCACCTTCTTCAGGCTCTGTTGCCAAAAGGAGTTTTGTCAAGATTGAGTTAAATCGTGCAGTTCAGATTCACCGTAACACCACGACCTCCAGAGCTCAGACAGATCGGACTGTGGCTGAACTGAGCAGCTTCATGTTAATATGAATGCAGTGGGAAAAAAGAGACAGAGCTTTAGATTGATGAGTGTTCTCCTTCGTTCTCCTCAGGTCACTCTCAGGTCGAATCGTGGGAGGAGTTTGGTGGTTTTTCACCCTCATCATCATCTCCTCCTATACAGCCAACCTGGCAGCCTTCCTCACTGTGGAGAGGATGGTGTCCCCCATAGAGAGCGCCGAGGACCTGGCCAAGCAGACCGAGATCGCCTATGGTACCCTGGACGGAGGATCCACTAAAGAGTTCTTCAGGGTAAGGACACATTTGTTCTTCTTTTGGATTGATACCAATCCATAATCTCTACACTTTGTTTGTGGTGTTGAGGATCGGGCTGAACCCGCCCTAACTCTGTGAAAGATGACAAAAAAGTTTGAATAAAAGCTGTAAAAACAAACCCAGTGTAAAACTTGAACTTTTGCCGAAGAGTTCTGGCAGAGTGCTGCCGAGGAGCGTTCTGTGCTTTAAGGTAAAAGCTTTTCCTATGGTAAGATGCCACATATGACACCCTGATCATCTCTTTTTGTCTTCACTCTCTATGTCAGCGGTCAAAGATTGCAGTTTTTGAGAAGATGTGGTCGTACATGCGAAGCGCAGACCCTTCAGTGTTCGTCAAGAACACTAACGAGGGCGTGATCAGAGTCAGGAAGTCGAAGGGGAAGTATGCCTACCTCCTGGAGTCGTCCATGAACGAGTACATCGAGCAGAGGAAGCCCTGTGACACCATGAAAGTGGGGGGAAACCTGGACTCTAAAGGTTATGGAGTGGCCACGCCCAAAGGATCGCCCCTCAGGTACACTCTGAATCTCTGGACAGGGGACAGTCCATGTGCGGTTCATGTTGGTGTCCTGTTCTGTCTGTTGTTGTGGGAAATCAGACCAATCAGACCCTCCATGTGCAAATTAATCAATTGATTATAAGCATGTTCTTCCTGGTTTTAAATCAGAGGTAAATTAATGGATAAAATATTCAGTTTCTAGAAAAGATTTAATCAAACAACATGACTGGTCACATGAACCAAACTACATTTTATTTTTCACAGTTTTATAACATATATATGCTAAAAGTCTGGGACCTGAACAGCGAGCCTGGCGTGCAGAGGTGTGGACTTACGTCACGGGTTTATGACTTGAGGTTTAACTTAACAGTGACTCATCTATAACATATTAAAGGGATACTTTGGATCTTTTGAAGTGGTGTTGTACTTTTCCATAGTCAGTGTGTTACGGTAGATGTTGGTCTGCACGCCACCAGTCTGGAGAAGCAGACAGGAGTCCAACATGGCAGCTAAACAGTGAACTGCTGTGGACAGAACCAGTAGCAAGCCACGTGTAAGTGTACATTCATTTTTTCATTTCATTCATTCATTTTCTGTAACCGCTTATCCTGTTATGGGTCGGGGGGGTTGTAGCCTATCCCAGCTGACAATGGGCGAGAGGCAGGGGTCACCCCAGACAGGTCACCAGACTATCACAGGGCTGACACATAGAGACAGACAACCATTCACACTCACATTCACACCTACGGACAATTTAGAGTCACCAATTAACCTGCATGTCTTTGGACTGTGGGAGGAAGCTGGAGCACCTGGAGGAAACCCACGCTGACACAGGGAGAACATGTCAGAGCACCTGGAGGAAACCCACGCTGACACAGGGAGAACATGTCAGAGCACCTGGAGGAAACCCACGCTGACACAGGGAGAAGACAGTCATTTCCAAAGCCGTTAGCTCTGCTCTCTTTAAGGTCAGACTCCATTGAGAAAAATAGTAAATAATCACCACTGAACGCCAGGGTTTGAAACAACCTGAAACTACAAACACTGACTTTCACCCGAGACAGCGGTGTTCACTTCCTGTAAGATTGTAAAGCCAAACCCTGTTCTTTTTTCCTAAACGTAACCACGTGTGTTGTTGAAGGAAAAAAAACATCAGTTGGTGGTGTTGTACCGACGTAGTGCTTTTATTTTGAAAGAGACTGTATGCAAACTTTACATTTCCTGTGAAAACAGAAGTGTATTTTGAAAACAGACAATGCATGTAACAGGCTGAAGTTGACACGGCGTCCCAGAACGTCAACAACCAACACACCCAGGGTACCTTGGACGTCATATGTGGACGTCACATGTTAATGACCAAATGTGGACATGTGACGAGGTCACAGTGAGGACATCATGGTTTCGTCCACAGCAGGACATTGTTTAGCTTCTGTGTCAAGACTCCTGTCTGCTTCTCCAAACTGGAGGCGTGCCGAGTGACATTTACTGCAGGTAACACACTGACTGTGGATAAAGGCCTCAAATAACCCCACTGAAAAAAAATCCAAACTGTCCCTTCAAGAGACGGAACAGATTCTCAGTGTGGTGTTCAAACTGGAGGACATTTCTTGTTTGACTCTTTAAGTGTTTACTGAAATAGATTCTGACTTGTTGAGGACTTGAAACCCAAAGTTTTGAGTCTAAGACCTGATTGGTGACTTGAAAATGGTTAACTTGTTCCCACCTCTGCAGAGCACGGAGCGCCGGTTCAAACAGACCGACCCACAGGAGTCCTCAGACGAGGGTCTCAGAGTTCTGTCTTACAGAACTGTCTGTCAGTTTACTGTCTGTGTGTCTGTCTGTCTGTCAGTCTGTCTCAGTGTTTCTGTCTCACTGTCAGTCTCTTAATCTGTCTCTGTCTGTCTTGTCTCTCTCTCTCTCTTGTTTGTCTTTGTCCATATGTGTGTCTGTCTGTCTGTCCGTCTCAGTGTTTCAGTCTGTCTGCCTGTTCCTGATCTGTCGGCCTGTTTACCTGTCTGTTGTCATGTCCTCTGTTCTGCCTGTCTGACTGCGACCTGCCTGTCTCTCTGTCTCTACAGTCACGATACTGACAACCCTACTAACATTCCTATCTATCCATCTATCCATCTATCTATCTATCTATCTATCTATCTATCTTTTGTTCTGTCTCTGTTCTAACTGTGCTGCTGTCAGATAAAACACTGCATTAAAGGGATAGTGCACCCAAAAATGAAAATTCAGCCATTATCTACTCACCCATATGCCGAGGGAGGCTCAGGTGAAGTTTTAGAGTCCTCACATCACTTGCAGAGATCCAAGGGGAGAGGAGGTAGCAACACAACTCCACCTAATGGAGGCTGACGGCGCCCCAGATTCAAACGTCCAAAAACACATCATTGAAACCACAAAATATCTCCATACTGCTCGTCCGTAGTGATCCAAGTGTCCTGAAGCCCCGACATAAAAAGTTGTTTGGAAAAACTTCATTTGAACTCTGTTTTTAGCCTCATTGTAGTCTGTAGCTCTGACTGCCTCTCTGGGCACCGCGCTCACGTGTGTGTTTGCGTGCGAGACCAGCGAAAGCACGTGAACACACATGAAGGCGGTGCCCATGTCTCATGCAAGCGCACACAAGTGAGCATGTCAGCGGTGTGAACTGGCCGGTCTGAGCTCGACTCAGCGGGCTGATGGTGTCACCTGACACTCAGCTATTAACCCCGTTATTCTCACCAGTAGTAAACGGGCCGCGGTGCTAAATTATTAATGACCGTAGTATTTAAAGGCTTCGACATTACGTGTTCTTTTATCTGTAACTGTTAGCTCACTGTTTTTATGTTTTGGTGTAATTTATTATCGTGCTGCAGCAGCCGGTCCTCCTGCTGTCTGAGCGTTGGGCGGGTGCATCACCTTTATGCACACACAGACACACAAACATGGAGTAGAGACGTCATGGCAGAGACAGAGAGGTGAAGATAACGAGCTGACCACAACTACGCTAGTTGTTGTGAGTGTAATGAAACCTCCGCGAGGAAAAGTCAATACTTAATCACTACACCTGATCAGCAACATGTTTACATGCAGAAAAGTATCTTAAAACTTACCTGAAGGTCATGAGACCTGTGGTCATGTGACTGCAGGCAGTGAGTCTCCTCAGCAGCAGAGAGCACAGCAGGACTGATACTGATGTCTGTGTTCTTTATTCTTTCTAAACTTCACTCAGTATTGTGACGTCAGGAATATGATTTGTTTTGTTGACATGTTACATTTGTTTCCAGTCAGATATTGAGTTTATATTGTGACCCCGCCATTTTATTATTACTGTTGCTCTAGAAACATTTAGTTATAAAATATTCAGTTTATTCCTGTCCTGAATTTCTTCTTCTTTTTTTTTTTTTTAAATAATTCCTTGTAAAACTGACAGTATTAGTTCTCTCAGAATCTCTTTCACATACTCGCAAAAATTGGTATTGTAACTGAAATAACCCTGATTCTAATCGGCATCGAACCGAATCAAATTGGAAATCAGTGGCGATATCCAGTCCTAGTGTTAAATAAACATGTCTACCTTTGAAAATCCCACCACACAGAGACTTCAGGTCTGCAGTGCATGTTTTTGTTACCAACTTCGTTCAGGAGACGAACTGCAAAAACAGATTATTCGAAGATACAACGACATCTACTGGATGTTTGGTTTTTTTTTTGCATAACATACCTAAACCGAATGGTAGAGATAGCTCAACATATATATATATAGCCTATATATCAATAGATATAGTGACACAAATGTGCCCCATTAAAATCTGGAGCAGGACGTTAAAGGGTTAAATTGTTGCTGGACACTGTTCTCTGAAAGGAAATAACCAACAAACATGTCGGTCACTCAGTTAAAAGATGAATTTCATCCAAACTGTTTTTTTTATCTGGCAGCAGCATTTGAAAGTCATGTTTCTTCCCTCCTTTGTTTCAGACGTCAGTGGACTTTGTTCATGTTGTTATCAGATGTTCTGTGAGAGAACATCTTGTTCTCATTCTTTCTGCTTCACATCAGCATTTTACAGCCAACCCAGAGTCAGAGGACGGAAATGAGCTCCGCAGATGAGATTAGTACGCTCAATGTAATCATATGTATGTTCCTCTATGTTGTGAAATTAATCACTGCAGAAGGCGTGTGTGTGTGTGTGTGTGTGTGTGCGCGTGCGTGTGTGTGTGCGTGTGTGTGTGTGTGTGTGTGTGTGTGTCCTTACAATATCAGTCAGTGTTCCACAGACAGAAAAACAGAACTGAGCAAATTTCTGCCTTTGTATTAAATTGATTTATTGAAACCAAATTCTGAAGTGAAAATCTGTGATGGCAGATATTATAACTACTGCTGAAAGACAAAAAACAAAAAAACAAGCCCTGGACGTTTTTCACCATTTTTTGTAAAGCGAAAGAGACGGTGTTGGTCTTTGTGATCAGTTGCCTAGCAACAGTGTTGTGTTAAACCACTCGAATGCTGAGCATATTGGATAATCACCTTTACACAGCTCATTAGTTCCATTTGAACAGACTCTGTGCTCTCCTCTCTGGGTTGACCGGCTCTCCGTACTAACAGCTGACAATATCGAGTTCTTCATTTCATCGTTTCCACGTATGAACTCTATCAGCCAGCGTCAGAGCTGCTGCTTCATCTGCTGCTGCAGAGTCACTGAGACTGAAGATGACTGTGCTGCTGTTTGTTCTGAGTGAGGAGTTTTGTTCTAAAGTGGCATTGTTACCATTTTTCTTTTGAAAATGTCCGATTGATTGATTTCGACAGAGAAGAGACAACGTTAAGAACAGATGTTATTAAGTTCTGACTGACACTTGTAGTCCAGGTGGGCTAAACTACCCCAGTTAGACCGTCCTGAAAACGTGAGTCTGGACTCGATGCTGCTCCGCCTTGTATCCAAAAATTAAAATCCAATCTGGACCAATCAGGACGTAAGCAGCCAATCAGGGACTGCGTTGTAGTTGATGATGTAAAACGCAGGTCG